ATAATACAATATTACATAATATTAATATGTATTTGATATATATTAATACATTTGATACACTTAATATTAGGAAGAAAATAAAAATCATAAATAAAAACTCAAGAGTGAAAAAACTTATTTTTTTTGGGGGGGCTTTTTTTTTTTTTTGAGATGGAGTCTCACTCTGTCACCCAGTCTGGAGTGCAGTGGCACAATCTTGACTCACTGCAACCTCTGCCTCCCGGATTCAAGTGCTTCTCCTGCCTCAGCCTCCCGAGTAGCTGGGATTGCAGGCGTGTGCCACCACTCCCAGCTAATATTTTGTATTTTTAGTAGTGATGAGGTTTCACCATATTGGCCAGGCCACTCTCGAACTCCTGACCTCAGATGATCTGCCCACCTTGGCCTCCCAAAGTGCTGGGATTAGAGGTATGAGCCACTGCACCCAGCCTCTTTATGACTTTTGTGATCAGGAAAAATACAAGTGAACCTTACCTCTTAAGATCCACACAATTTGCTGCATGTGGTGGCTCATGCCTGTAGTCCCAGCATTTTGGGAGGCCGAGGTGGGTGAATCACGAGGTCAGGAGTTTGAGAGCAGCCTGGCCAACATGGTGAAACCCCATCGCTACTAAAAATACAAAAATTAGCCACGCGTGGTGGTGCACGCCTGTGATCCCAGCTACTCAGGAGCCTGAGGGAAGAGAATCACTGGAACCCAGGAAGTGGAGACTGCAGTATTGCAGTGAGCTGAGATCATGCCACTGCACTCCAGCTTGGGTGACAGAGCAAGACTCAGTCTCAAAAAAACAAAGAAAAAGAAAAAAAGGACCAGTTACTTCAACAGTTTCAACAGTTAACACTGGTTATATCACAACAAAACAAGGGTGGTTTCTCCTCGGTTGGCTCTCCAATATACTATCTACGTGCATTCCTTTGGCTTTTGGTATTGTCGTAGTTACTAAGGGTGCGCTCCAGCTGTCCTCGCAGAGGACATAACACAATGCTCTGTGTTTATGTGGTTCATTGTTACTCCAAGTGTGGTCCTTGAACCATCAGCGTGAGCATCACCTGGGAGCTTGTCAGAAATGCAAATCCATGGGCTCTATGCCAGATTCTGGCTCAGAAGCTTTGTGAGAGGGATCCAAGAAATTGCATTCTAACCAGCCCTCCAGGGGATTCTGAGGCACATGTAAGTTTGAGAACCACTGATGTAATTGAAAAAGAAAAAAAAAAAGAGGAAAAAAAAGATAAATCATCAGTGCTAATGATGCCCAAGGTTATCTTTTGTAAACTAGGATAGTATAAATACTGTAAATTGAAGCAGCAAGAACCAATCATTCGAAGTCAAAGATAACTAATGAGCCCCTAGATTCACATCCTCCCAGCACTCACAAGGCATAGGGCCCACAAATCCCCTCTCCAAAATGCAGTGAGGTATCTCGTGTGCTGCTAGGGAAAGAAAACGCACTTCTAGTAAAACCGAATACTTTTTTTTTTTTTTTTTTGAGACAGAGTCTCACTCTGTCACCAGGCTGGAGTGCAGTGGTGTGATCTCAGCTCACTGCAACCTCCGCCTCCTGAGTTCCAGCGATTCTTCTGCCTCAGCCTCCTGAGTAGCTGGGACTACAGGCACACGCCACCACACCCAACTAATTTTTGTATTTTTAGTAGAGACAGGGTTTCACCATGTTGGCCAGGATGGTCTTGATCTCTTGACCTCATGATCTGCCTGCCTCAGCCTCCCAAAGTGCTGGGATTACAGGCATGAGCCACTGCGCGTGGCCTAAAACCGAATTCTTTAAACTCAAGTGACCATGTCTCCAGGTATAACCATATTTCCTTCAAATTCTCAAAAGTTTTCATCCCCAAAAGCTGCCCTCTTTAGCCACAACTTTGGAGGTGTCTTTAGATTTTGTTCCGGGGCCCTCATGCTCATCATTCATCTTTCTTTTTCCAGCAAAGGGTTACCTTCCAGTTCAACATTTACCTTGGAAGAGGGGACCATCTACTTGACCACTGAACCCAACACTCTGGAGGTGCAGGATGACAATGCTTCTGTGCTCGATGTCTATTTAGTAAGTAATGTTTTAGTTTCCTCTCCTCCCCTTCTGGTTTGTAAATGGATCCAGGCCATGGCTTACACAAGAACAAGTTCAATAAAACCAGGCATGCTTGGGTTTTAAAAGAAATGATGGGGCCCTGTCACTTCTGCAAATGATGCTTCTTTTCACAAGCAATGTTTTCCTACAGTTTGTTACACAAAAGAACATCTAGTCAATACGAAATCACCATGTATAACAAGAGAACGAATCCTCTAATGTCGAGGCAAAGTTGGGCTCCTTAGTGTTATTCCCAGTCAGGTAATGTTTTCCTTTGACTCAGTCACTCTCCCTGATGTTTGAATCTTCTGCATTTTGGCGTTGCTCCCTTGGTAAGTTAGTAGGCCACGAGGTGCAGAACTCATGGGAAGAACCCAAATTCAGCACCGGAGAATTTTGGCTGATTCTCTCCTTGTCACCAACCAGCTTTTGATTTGGGCAGGAACCTTTCTGACTGCCTAAGGAGGGAAATAATGCCTGCCCTGCCTACCTTACAAGGCTGCTCTGAGGATCATGAGTGACCCATTAGTGCCTGACAGATTACCTGTATCAGCTTAATCGAACTGTTAGATGCCTAGAAAGATACCCTGATGGGCTACAGTGTAAAAGAGTATTTTCTGTGCCAAGTGCATCTCACATATATGCTACATCTTTGTGCACCTGCACAAATTTTTTTTTTTTTTTTGAGACGGAGGCTGGAGGGCAATGGTGTAATCTCGGCTCACCACAACCTGTGCCTCCCAGGTTCAAGTGATTCTCCTGCCTCAGCCTCCCTAGTAACTGGGATTACAGGCATGTGCCACCACGCCCAGCTAATTTTGTATTTTTAGTAGAGACGGGGTTTCTCCATGTTGGTCAGACTGGTCTCGAACTCCCGACCTCAGGTAATCTGCCCACCTCGGCCTCCCAAAGTGCTGGGATTGCAGGCATGAGCCACTGCACCCGGCCTACCTGCACAAAATTACATACAACAGGGTAAGTGTTCTTTTGGAATTTTCTGGGGTTTTCTAAGTTTTGCTAAACATGAGCCAATATTCTGTGTCACTCCTGGTGTACAAGTGCAACTTCAGGAATCAGCACTGAGTGGTGCATGTCTCACAGCAGCTCCTCGAGCCTCTTTGAGCCTGCATTTTATGCTTTTCCATATCCCTGACCTAGCACTGTAGTTCCTCACAAGTGCTCTGCAGGGCGTCAGTCACATAAGATGCTACTCCCGGCTCTTCTGGAGTAGTATCCAAAGTCCTGGCCAGGCGTGGTGGCTCATGCCTCTAATCCCAGCACTTTGGGAAGCTGAGGCAGGCAAATCACTTGAGGTCAAGAGTTCGAGACCAGCCTGACCAAGATGGTGAAACCCCGTCTCTACTAAAAATAGGAAAATTGGGCGGGCATGGTGGTGCATGTCTGTAGTCCCAGCTACTTAGAAGGCTGAGGCAGGAGAATCACTTGAACCTGGGAGGTGGAGGTTGCAATGAGCCGAGATCATGCTACTGCATTCCCACCTGGGCAACAGAGTGAGAGCCTGTCTCAAAAAAAAAAAGTCCCTCAGGCCCTTCGTGGTCTAGTCTTCCCTGCCTCTACAACCTGCCCCCTCCCTGCGTCTCCCTCTTCCTTGCTGACGCTATTCTAGCCACACTGGCCTCCTTGGTGTTCCTCCCACAGACCAAGCACACCTCTGCCTCGGGACTTTTACATTTGCCATTCCTGTCTGTGTATTCTTTTCCACCCATCCCATGCTCCCTCACTTCTTTCAGGTCTCAGCCCATGTACCCCTTTTTCAGATAGGCTTTTCTTGAAGCCCCGCTCCCACCACCACCACATAAACAGCAGGTCCCCCACCAACCACTGTAAAAATATTTTTTATCTGAATATCCTGGTTTTTGCATGAACAGATTTTTTTGCACTGAGCAATGCTCCTCCCTACCATTGCCCCCGCTTTAAAAAAAATAAGGTTGTAGCAGATCACAAAATCCTTACAGAAAAGTTGGTCCACCCCCAACCAAGAAAATAGGGAATTAAATAGAGAAAAAAATATATTTTTGGTCCCATGCTGGATTCATCTGGAACCAAAAATCAGGAAAGCTTTTCAGAAAGAAGCTAAGTAAAATCTCATCTTCATGAGCTAAGGATTCATGCCACTTTTATGTGTCTTTACAAAACCTAGATTTTCACCAATCATGGAGGTGCAGTATTCCTGAGTGAGCCAAAACTCAAATTCAGCTCCATATGTGGTCCTGCCTAAACTTGAACCCAGGAGCACCCTGTTGTTGTTACTGACCATAAATATAAGTCTCACCTCCATCTCATTGGAATCATGTGTCTTACAAGAGTGAGAGAAGGATGCAGAAAGGAAGGAATGAGGGGGTTTTGTTGAGAATATTTTTTGTAAAATTCTTTCACTGTTTTTTCCTGATTTTCTTTTTTTTTCTTTTCTTTTCTTTTTTTTTTTTTTTTGGAGACAGAATTTCCCTCTTGTCGCCCAAGCTGGAGTGCAATGGCATGATCTCGGCTCACTGCAACCTCCACCTCCCAGGGTCAAACAATTCTCCTACCTCAGCCTCCCAAGTAGCTGGGATTACAGGCACCTGCCACCACGCCCAGCTAATTTTTGTATTTTTAGTAGAGACGGGGTTTCACCATGTTGGTCGGGCTGATCTCGAACTCCTGACTTCAGGTGATCCGCCTGCCTCGGCCTCCCAAAGTGCTGAGATTACAGGCATGAGCCACTGTGCCCAGCCTCCTGATTATTTTTTAATGTTCTAGTATAGCAGTTCTCAGACCTTTTGATCTCAGGTCCCCTTTAAACTCTTAAAAATTATTGAGAATTCTGAAGTGTGTTTTGGTATCTAGGTTGTATTTATCAATTATTTTGTGTTTTCAAAACTAAAACAGAATGTTTTTGTTTTTTGAGACAAGGTCTTGCTCTGTTGCTTGGGCTGGAGTGCAGTGGTGTGATCTCAGCTCACTGCAATGTCTGTTTCCCAGGTTCAAATGATTCTTGTGCTTACAACCTTCTGAGTGGCTAGGACTACAGGTGCATGCCACCATACCTGGCTAATTTTTGTGTTTTTTTGTAGTGACGGGGTTTTACCATGTTGCCCAGGCTGGTCTCAAACTCCTGGACTCAGGCAGTCTGCCCATCTTGGCCTCCCAAAGTGCTGGGATTACAGGAGTGAGCCACTGCACCTAGCCAAAATTGTTTATTCATTAATTTAAAATAGTAATCTATTATATGTTAAATAATGTTTTTATGAATATTATATTTTCCAAAACAAAAATAAATTTTGTGAGGAGGGTAGCATTCTTTTATATTCCTGCAAATCCCTAATGTCTGGCTTAATGGAAGAAAAAAGATTCTCACATCTGTTTCTGTATCCATCTTCTTGATATATATAACACATCATTTCATTTCTAGAAAGCTCCATTGTACATCCATGAAAGGGAATGAGAATAAAAAGGCAAATAACATCTTGGTATTATCAGGAAAATAGTTTGACCTCATGGACCCCCAGAAATGATCCCTACAGAGTTTTTCTCATATTTTAACTTAGTCTCTTCACCTGTTGCAAAACCAAATGATACATATATTAATTAGAGAGAAATAGGTACCTGGTCTCTGCCTCTCATTAATCATTGACCTTGAATTCAGTCACCCTCTTTGGGCCTCAGTTTTCTTATCTATAAAATGAATTATTAAATCAGATTCATTCTAAATTACAAAGAGCTATAGAAATAAGATTTTCCAAGGTGGGAAGATTGCTTGAGGCCAGGAGTTCAAGACCAGCCCAGGCAACACAGTAATACCTCATCTCTACAAAAATTAAAAAAAAAAAAAAAGGTAGCCAGGCTTGGTGGTGCATACCTGTAGTCCCAGCTACTTGTGAGGCTGAGGCTGGAGGATCCCTTGGGCCCAGGAATCTGAGGTTGCAGTGAGCCATGATCTCACCACTGCACCCCAGCCTAGGCAATGGAGTGAGACATTGTCTCTAAAAAAATAGAAAGAACAGAAAAGAGGGAAGAATGGAGAGAGAGAGAAAGAAAAAAGAAAAGAAAGGAAAAAGAAAAGAAAAGAAAGGTTTCCAAAGTAGCTACTGTTGTTTCTCCAAATTTTGCTGTTTAATCACCTCCTATACCATAAACTTTCATATTTTTTAAACTTAAATTTTATGGCAGTACATCTAGAAAGTCCTGCACCATTAACTTGTAATTCCAGAATGTGTTTTCATGCTGGAAATTTTTATTTTTTGTTTTGCGTGCTCTTCCAGATCAGAAAGGGTACAGCTCATTGCCCTCCCTTCAGTATTTTCATTTGCATCTGCATTATGAAAAAGCAAATGGAGGCCGGGCACAGTGGCTCATGCCCGTAATCCCAGCACTTTGGGAGGCCTGGGAGGCCGAGGCGGGCAGATCACCTGAGGTCGAGAGTTCGAGACCAGCCTGACCAACATGGAGAAACCCCATCTTTACTAAAAGTACAAAATTAGCCAGACGTGGTGGTGCATTCCTGTAATCCCAGCTACTCAGGAGGCTGAGGCAGGAGAATGGCTTGAACCCAGGAGGCAGAGGTTGTGGTGAGCCAAGATGGCGCCACTACACTCCAACCTGGGTAACAAGAACAAAGTTCCATCTCAAAAAAAAAAAAAAAGAAAGAAAATGGAAAAGAAAAGCACAAGAAAGGAAAACCAATCTTGCCTTTGCATTGTCTCTTTTTTCCTTTTGACATAATTTGAATGCTCTGAATCACAGCCATCTTTATCTGAAGGGCAGTTGGAAGCTTCTCTGGTGACCTCCTATTCAGTGTTGTCACCAAACATGGTCAGGTTTCTCTTGTAATGCTTCTTCTCCTTTAAGATAGCATTTCTCTATTAGTAGTTGTAGACTAATCCTCTAGTGCTTTTATTTATACAGTAATGTATAAGCCATTCACCTTTGTGTAAAAATACATAGGCTTAAACCCAAATGATGTATGCCCACCAGAT